GGGCTTAGCTGTCCTTAAGGCTTTGCAAGAAGTTCCTTCAAGATTCGGAAACCTGATTATCAAGACGGATTCATCAACACTAGTCCAAGGCTTAAGAAAGCCTGACAAAACGTTAGACGAATTAATAAAGCACATAGTTCAGGACATCAGATTAACGGTTGGCAAACGTGACTTTGTGGCATGTGTGAAGACTAGAAGAAGCGCTGTACAAAAAGCCCACAACTTAGCAGTCTCCTGTAGGAAGTATGGGGCTCCGCTTTTGTTTTGTTCTTTGTAATCGTTGTCAAAAAAAAAAAAAAAAAAAACAAACAAACAGCTACTCGCTATTCGACCGCTAAAAGCTATCCGCTATATTAGTTTTGCCAAACAGGGCCTTATACCAATAGCGATTCTATCATGAACAATGCATATTTTTGGTAAAATCGCTCATGGTGTTAGCTGTTTTATCATGAGCATTCTAATATTTGGCCATTTATTTACAACTTTGTCATCTGATTAATAACCTGTTTATCAAAAAGATTAATTGGGGCACCTTCTTTTTAATATACTCTTACTTCGTTTCAAATTAGAAGCAAAAGAAATGGTAAATGGTAAGGGTGTTTATATCTTTTGTCAATCTATCCAAACGCTCCTTAATATTTGTGTTAAATACATATTTCCTTCGATTTTTTATACTTTCAACACTTCCCTAAAATGGAAATGTCGCAATACTTGCAATACACTTTAATTGGAAAGTTTTTGGTGGTAAAAATTGCACTATTAACCTTATTTAAAGCTCATAGCACACTTAGTTATACTTCTTACAATCCCTCAACCTCATTTTAAGTGTGTGAAATCATGTGAGATTGCTTTCCTTAAATACCGTGAAAAATGTGTATGTTGCAAGTATTAAAAAAAATGAAGGAAGTATGTGTTATCTATTTGAAACAGAGGAAATAATTTTTTATATGTAGAAGAAAACATAAATAAAGAAAATCCTCTTAAAGAATTAGATGAGGTGATCCCCAGACTACAAGGATATGACTCATATAATCATATGGGGTGGAAAGTAGAGCAAGCAAAATCTGACACTACATGACTAACATTATATGAATCAAACATAATAAAATTAAATTAAACTTGTTAGCACAACATGATACATTTATTTAAACAATTCAGGTTAGTATTGAAATTTCCAACATAAAACTATCACAACTCATCCCATCTATAAGAAAATAATCAATAATTTATGGGGCTGATAATAAATATCTAAATGAGGCTAATATTTTTAATACTTCATATAACAAGACTGCACAACACAAACCAAACATAGGAAAGGTGGTTTAATGTCATGTGATCTAACATGTTCAATGAAACGAGTCAACATAACACGGCACAACATGTTTAATTAACAAGTCAAGTTAGTGTTAAAGTCATCGACCTATCTATACTTAATTAGTATTTAAAAACAAAAATCAAAGTTTCCACGTGTTCTCCTCCTCTATTACCTTTCTCTAGAATCATTTTTCTTTTCTTAGATTTACATTGAATTTCTCCGGGTCCCCCCTTCAATAACTGTTTAAATTCTATAACTTCTACTTAAATTCAACAAAATAAATTTTATTAACCTTCTCCTCTTCTCCCTATATCTTTATATTCAATTTAATCACATTCGTCATTTAATTCATCGACCCCTTATCTTCCCCCGACCAATCTTTAGTATAAATACAAAATTTTCATTAGAGATTTTATCACATCACTACCTAAGTTCCCAAAAAAGAAAAAAAAAATTAGAGAAATATATCTCAAAATTCTATGTAAAATGTTACTATAATGAAGATGATGATTGAAAAGGAAAAATTTGAGGTTGCAAAGAAGGGAGACTTGAATATATCAAGAAAAATAAAGAGTTTCATGTAGGAATATTATGGAATTTTCTTAGTAACATTGCTTGCATGTCATAGGACCATTATTTTCAAGATATTAGGCGCACTCTAAGAAATTGATTTGGTAAAGAATTTTATATTTGATGTAAAAATATAATATTATAACAAGGTTTGATAATTAGTTTTTTAATACGAATTATTGATTAACTACCATGCAATTAGATAATTTGATTATATAATCTTTTAAGCCAATTTTTTTTTAATATGTCAAAAGACGATGAAATAAAGTTATTCAAGTAATTTGTGAGTTTTAAGAATAAATCATAACTTATGCATAATCCGTGCGTATGTAGAACGGGCCCAAAAACGAGTTTATCGTCGAACATGAACACGAACACAAGTACGACATGAGACGTTTTATGTCCCCTCATTTTATTTAAGCTAAGATCATGTTTGGTATACTGTTTTTGAGTAGTATAGACAGAATCAATAACCATTTTCATTACTAATTGTTTGCTATAAAAGGTACTTCGTTCTTTTGATAAACTGGTAGCATACCCATTTCCTTTAGCTTCTTACCCCTCCCCCCCCTTTTTAAAGTCCTAAAGGACACTAAATTTCATTAATTAAAGTCATACGACATCTACAATTGATAAACAATGATAATGAAAACAGATTTAACAAAATCAAACAATAATTAATTGAAGAAGTGCTAAGAATCCAAATACATAGATATAACAATTCGGCATATTCTCAATTCGTTGTCTCATACAACTTTTTGAGTCGATCCGTCGATGCTTCAATATTTTGTGAGGAAGATATTTCTTGTGATGATTTTGTAACCCAAATCCGAGCAATAATCAATTGTAGCCCCGTAAAATTGGAGACCCTATCAAACGCAAATAAAACCTTGTCTTTTGAAGGAGTTCGAAAAACCTTTTCTTTCGAAGAAGATCTAAAAAACTTTGTCTTTTGAATGTCTTTTGAAGGAGATAAACCCTTTTTTCGAGGGAGACATTATTATAACCTAAGAATTAAAAAAAAAAAATTAAAACTTATAAGAAACAACTATTGGGGCTTTCCACCGGCGAAATCTGATGAAAGCCCCTTCAAAATTTACAATGGAGGCTAAAGTTTAGGAGAGAGAAGAGAGAGAAAGGAGGCTAGGGTTTTTTGAATTTTTGGCCTTACCCCCCTCCTTTTTTACTATAACAATTGACTTTCACGAGATTTTTTTTTTGTGCGAATTGAATAAGCCACAAATGCAAAACAAAAAGAAAAAAAGAAAAATTATGAGTTTTTCTTCTTGAGATACATTCTCAAGGGTTAAAATTGTCTTTTTACCTAATAAAATTGGGATAATAATAATGTAATTTTATTTTCACCGCCCCCTTTTTTATTTTTCACCATTATTATTCTCATTTTTTACCCTTTCTTTTTGCCATTAAAGTACTCTGTAAATTCTCCATTGAAGTGTGAAGTTTTCTCTCCACCATCAAAGTAACTTATGAGGTAAGATGATTATAATTTTTTTATTCATCGGATTAATTAAATTGTCAAACGTCATTCGTTAACAATCGAATTTCAATTTCACAATCTAGTGTTAATTGTTAATCATCGAACTTCAATTTCTTAATTTAGTAATATAGCAGCTTCAACAATGGAGGAGGAAAAGCTCACAAGAAAACTTTTGACATCTACCCTTTTGGGTTAACCATGTCGCCCTTTATTGCTCAATTTTTTCCATGGGTTTTCGTTGAATTCTGCGTCGAAGCTGCAAGAAATGGACGTCGAAAATGAGATTGGGGCTCATGTTTTGTTGTGGTGATTGGGTCGTTGTATGATATCTTGGTGAAAAATCTGCCATGATTGTTGAGAGAGGAAGGAGGAGGAAGAAGGGAAGGAGGAAGGAGAAAGAATGATGAGTCAGCAACAAAAGAATGAATAATAAAAAACGACTGATTTAGAAAAATATTGCACTTGAAAAAAAATGGATCAGAGTTTGTATAAGCTGCCATTACATCATGTTTTTCATTTCAAACACTAAATATGTCATGAGATATATCATGTACTTGTAAAGAAAACCAATCTTAAAAGTTACTGTATTAGAGAATTTACTCATATTACTAGTTATTTGGGAAGTTATTATGAAATTTTCTTAGTTTTTTAAAAGCTTGTTTACAATACAAGTTGTGTGCAATATAAGAAATCTATATAGCTCGAATTTATTTATTTTTTCCTTGAAATATTATCTACCTTATTCTTAAGAAAACAAAAGTGGGTTTAAAAATTGATGAAGTCATGGAGGCTAATCATCAATAGCATAATACTAAAACAGACACCAGGAATGACGCGTGTCATTTTGTGGTGCTGTTTTTTCCCTCCAAAATTCTCTCTCTCTCTTTTTTCTTTTTTTTTTTTTTTCTTTCTTTTTTTCCTTTTTTGTAGCCAATGCCATTAATTACCTACTATAAGTTATACACAAAATATTAACCAACTCATATAATATAATTGTGATTATTTTGATTCATATACTTTCCATTTCAGTTTTATATATTTTTCATTCTAGCTATGTAAGTTTAGACTATATTATGCTAAATTTATAATAATAATAATAATAATAATAATAATAATAATAATAATAATAATAATAAAGATTTTAGTGAATACGACGGGTAAAACATATACTTCGTATTAGATTGTAGCTATTGAAGCGGAAGGTATGACAAGATAATTTTGTTTTTTTTTTCAACGGGAGATAGATTATGAATGAGTCTACTTCTCTTATATAATTACGTGGCGCAATATTCATTTATTTTTCAATTAATAAAATGAAATTATAAAAAAAATACTAATAACTGAAAATATTATGCAAATTACATTCCTTTATTTTTGTATCAACTATTAGTAAATGAGCCCTTTATTACTAATTGAATTATCTTTGTTTTTTTTCCCTATGAGATTAATAATTAATAATTTAATTTATAAATCGGGCATCGCACGGACACTATACTAATATTAGGATATAACTTTCCTTAAGGAAAAAATGGCAGTTTTTATTTTATATTATTTTAAAGTAGTTATATTTTTAAATAAAAAAAATGGTAGTTTGTTTTTTAAAAAAATAAAAGATGAGAGGGGTATTTTGAGAAATTATAATTTATCACCTATAACCCAAAAAAAAAAAAGGAGAAAAGGTAAGTTTAGCAAAAAGTTAACAGAATCTTAAACCACACCGTATACAATTATAATTCATCACAATGGCATAAACCCCTCTTCTGATGCTCCGAAACCGAACACTTACATTTCTGTGCAGTAAACTTGTTAAACCCTACTCATTTCTTCCACCGTCGACTACGCCAACTACGACGGCGACAATGACTTCCGCCGCCGTCGATAATCTTCCCGCCGATTCTCAAACCTCCATTAACAAAGCTCCATTGAAGAGTGTCGATGAACCTGATGTCGGAATCCTCTGCTACATCTCTCAACTCCCTGGCTTTCGCGGCATTCTCAAACAAAGGTATCATCGTCAAAAAATCATTTCTTAATGAGTTAATTCCATTGTTTTCTGGTTCAAAATGTGTTGATTTTGTTTAAATTTGGTTGAAATTTTTAGGTATTCGGATTTCATTGTGAATGAAGTTGATTTGGATGGAAATGTTGTGCATTTAACTTCATTGCATGTTTCTCCTGAGGTATTTACCTAATTAGTATTAGTTTAAGTTGAGGTGTTCTTCAATTTTTGAATTCGTTTGTGATTGTGAAATTTGAGTTTTGTTTGATATTGTTAGTTGGCTGAAAACAAGGAAGAGATTGTAGCTGAGCAATCAGATAAAAGTTACACTGAAGAAATTGAGTCATTTAGGTTGTTAGTGGGTGACGCGGATGCCGATCGCCTGAAAGAAATGATTGAGAAGATTAATGCTGGTGTTGATCATGATATTTCTCCTTTAGTTCTTTCTCCGAGTTCGGATAAAGTTCACCGCACGGTAATGTTTTGATTCTCAATTCCGATTACTTTAGCATTAATCTTATGAATTTAGTTTGTATTTCGATTTAGTATACAATCATATGTGCTCTATGGCTAGGGGTGGCAATTCGGGTCAGCAGGTCGGGTTCGGGTCAGATTTCGGGTTGTCCTTAGAAATTATCAAAATTTTTGTAACACTGAATATTATTATGAAATATAAAATTTAGGTCAAATTGGGTCGAATTCGGGTTGTTCGGGTTTGGGTCGGGTTTGGGTTTCTCTCAATAACTTCGGGTCGGGTCAGGGATTCCCAGCCCTATCTATGGCTTTGTATCAAATGGCTTGCTACTTTAGTTAGGTTTACTTGCTAAAATACATTTAGAATAATTATAGTGATATAGAGTTATAATTATAAATTTTATTTGGATTTGTATAATTTGCTTTCAGCTCATAATGGTTGTGAACTCGTTATAATTTGGATTTGTATAATTTGCTTCCGGCTCATAATGTTTTTATTGTATATTTACTGTTTTAATGTAACAAAGGGTAGCACTATTGTGCACCTTCTAGCAGTATGTAGTCTTTCCGAAAGGCTGGAATTGAGGCCTAGAAGGTGATTGGATTATATCATAGATGTTGATATCGAACCTGGGAAATGGTTTGGGTAGTCAGCCAGTCAATCCTCCCTGTTTATTATTAACAAGTTCTCACTTAACCTTTTTTGGGCAAAAGTTTATGTTGTGTATGTTTGAGATGATACAGGCGGTGCACAACTTCTTCAAGGAAAAGCTGAAATTTCTTGTCACAGACACAATAGATGGTCCTAAAGATTTATCGAAATGCATTCGAGTGAGGCCTAATTCATCAGGAAATCAAAATAAAGGAAGAAATTTCCGGAAGCGAAAAGATAGGGATGAGAAGCCATTTGATAAAAGAGGTTCTCATGACTGGCCAGAGCATCTTGGCAAGTTCCTCAGGTATGATTATTTGTCTGGTTCTTCCATTGAATTGATGCTTCTTGTCCTGAAGACTGGTTAACATTATTGTATATTTATATCTGTAATGGAAACATAATGAATTAAATGCATATTGCATGATGCTAATCAAAGAGAGGACTAAGATGGGGAGTATATGGCTAATTGGCTTTAATTTGCAAGAAAGGTGTGCTAATTTTATGCCAGTATTGTTCCCGGCTTCCCGCGAAACTCTCATATGTGACTCAAATTGAACAATGACATATCAATATCTTTTTGATAGACATGTTTCAAGTTACTTCATGTTTCTACCTGATTTTGACTTATTTCTCCAGCTTGTTTCTGAAATGCATTATTGATCTGTTCATGTAGGTTTCATCTTTACAAGGAGAACAAGGATACTCAAGAGGTCTTGAGGTTGATTGGCAAGATGCTTGGTGTCCAGGTTACCATTCCTATTTTTCTTTGTGTATATTTTGCAGATAATTTGATTGGGTTCCATTGGCTTCATTGACAATGAAATGGCATGCAACATACTGAGAAATTGACATCCTCACTAGGCAACTGTGGCAGTTGCAATACAAAGTTATTTAAACTTGATACCTTTTGGCATTTTTCGGGTTCCTGATCTAATGATTGCAACAGAACACAGGAAATGGCCAAAAAGTATCAAATAAAATGATTTGATTTCACAAGGTTACAAATTACATTTTTTGAAGTGTTGTAAATGGCAAAATTGCTTGTAGAAAAGGCTGTTGTGACAAATTTTCCTAATATTAAATTGTATTTCTTTATTTTCATAAATTATTGACTATCAATTCTTTACTAAAAGTTTGTTTGCTTTCTGTTTTGCAGCCTAAATCATTTGGATTTTCAGGCACCAAGGATAAACGTTCTGTGTCCACTCAACAGGTATGTTTCTCTTTACAGCTGAGCTTGATGTCGTTACTCATTTTTTCTTCTTTTTTGTCCATTCCCTGATATTTAATGTTCTGTCGATGCATTTCTCCAATTTAATTTTTCATTCATTTGCTGGAAGCTCATAATATTGTAAAACAGCTAGTGGTGATATGTGAACCCACTGTTCATGTGACATTTAAATGCCAAGGCCTAATGGTTTTCATTGAAGCATGAATATACTGGTTTTCATTGAAGCATAAATGTACCCAGTTTTCTTGATCTTCTATTGCTTCATTCTTCACATTTTGTAGCAGTTGACTTCCAGATCTCCAATTGCTTAGGCCTTTCTGGTTTCTACAAACAACTAACTAAAGTCTTTTTATTTATTTATTTAGTTTTATGAACTTGTTCATTGCTTTATGTTAAGAAACAACATGAGTGAAAGTGTGAAACTGTGAAAGTATAAAGGGGGAAATGTGAAAGTTGAAACTGTGAAAAGAACAGCATTTTTTTTTTCTTCTAATTATTCTCTCTCCTTGACCCTTCTTATAACCCTTTTTTTTTCTTTTTTTTCAGGAGTCATATTTTCAAAGCATGTCCTTTTCTTTTTAATATGTAGTTATTGGGTCCAAATTTTATACTCCATAACTTCATGTGGTCTCCTATGGCATACTACACGTATATATGTTCTGATCAGTAAGCTTGGGCTCATGTGTGTATTTTGATCCTTGTGCATGTTTTTTTGCCTGATTTACTCCTTATTTGAAAACTTTTGCCTACGTTTTTTGCATATCTGGAAGTTAGCTGTTGGGAAATGTTGATCACTGTGTTGGACTTTCTGTTGGTTAAGTTGAAACAATACACATTTTGTAAAGCAATGTATTTACTTTCATTGTTTCATCTTTCTTCACAGGTAACTATGTTCAAGCAGCGGGCTAGTAGATTGGCTTCTCTCAATGCGAAGTTGATTGGTATAAAACTTGGTGACTTCTGGTATGGTGAAAATATGGGGTTCTGAACTTGTAATGTCTTCTTGAATCTGCTTATATGTCCTGTTGACACTTCTTTTTTGACTTTCTAGCTATGTTAAAGAAGGGCTTCAGCTTGGGCAGCTTTTTGGCAATAGATTTACAATAACATTGAGGTAAGATGTCATTGATGAAGTATGGACTCCTGTCCTTTATCATCAAGTATGAGGTGTCAGAGCTTTCTTATCTTCTCAGAGGTGTTACTGCTGATTCTGAAGACACTATCAAAGCATCTGCTGATGCCTTAGGAAAGCATGGATTCATTAACTATTTTGGTCTACAGGTATTTATGCTGCTTTTCTGTGCTTCTGCATTATTCCTGACAAAAGTCAGGCTGCTGAGCTGAAGTCTCTGACACCGTTACTTTAAAAATTCCTCATCGCACATTTTCCCCCCAATGAAATTTTTTTTACACAATTTCTTTATGTTGATGATATGCAAACTAAATGGAGCAATATTGGCATGAATAAATACAGAGGTTTGGAAGTGGTTCAATACCAACTCATCTTATTGGAGCTGCTTTACTTCGTGGAGAGTGGAAAGCTGCGATTGATATGATTCTTGATCCTAGGGAGGGAGATATCCTTGCATTTAAATTTTTATGTTTGACTGGACTGGACCCATCTTGTGAACTTTTTTCAATTACAGTACATAGTGAAATAAGCTGAGTCTTTCTTGACTGAGATTTTACAAAGGGAAGCTGTGAGAAAGATTCGGGAACAATACAAGGAAAGCAACAATGTTGATGGAGCACTGAGGCGATTGCCACATCATATGGTTGCTGAGAGGTCTATTGTAAGTCCACGCCTCTTAACGCCTTTCTAGAGGAGGTTACACTTTTGCATTACAGCTGTTTAAGGCTTTTTAAAACAGAGAAAGCTGGGCATTATGGATAATTAAGTATTGTTATGTGTTTAAAACAATATGATATTATCTTATATTTATTAATTGAAGAGGATAGAAACATTATGATTAATAAACTGCCATACACCATCTACAAATTAGTATCCCAGTAAATGATAATAAAAAATGTCAATTTGAAATTCTTCCTCTGCTCTACTAGGATGTTCTCTTTAAAATTACTCCTTTAATATGTTAATGTTCCAATAATAACAAATTTTAATTACTTAACATCTCTGATACCTGATGTTCAAGATCTTCAACCAATAATAATCTTCCGTTATAGAAATCAGATTATTAAACTTGTAAGCTAAAAAGTAAAATAAAGCTGTTAAAAAGAGAGGAGACAAACTCATCTTAATGATGGGAGAAATTTTCTTGCAAAATGAGGGTAGATCTATTAAAATTAACCTGTAAACTAACATGTCTAAAGATTTATCCCACGAGAATAACAAATTTGGGTTTTTCATTTGATGGAAGCCCCTACATAATTCACAAATGGAGGCTAGGGTTTAAGATACAGTTTGATTATAATATTATGTTATTAAACTGTAGTTTTTGCCTTTTTGCTAAGAATTTGTTTTGCTCTTGTGCCAAGCATATGGACTACCTTTACAACTGCTAATAATAACCCTTGATTTTCTACTGGATAATTTTGACAAGGCAATTTCTGCTCATTAGTGGTAAACTTTTGTTTTTTTATCCCTTGTGAGTTTGTGACTTAGCCTTGAAGCAGCATTCGTATTGTACCCCTTATTGTATAACCTTTTGCAACCTTTTGTCTGTATGATTTGTTGAAATGATCATAGAAAAATCAGTTTAGACATAACTGAGAATGCTCTCGTGATTATGCCCTTTCTGTGGAATTATAATCCAATGTTTGCTTGATTGTAACCCTGTCAAAAAGGTTGGTAGTTGGTTAGACAGCTTTCAGATCAGGTTTAGTTTGATTTTGGGTAAAATTTTGTGCGAAATCTTTTGCTTGTGCCTTAGTGAGCTTTCATTTTATTTAATGCCAAAAAACCAGATTTTAGAAATCAGAAACAGTCATTTCCAGTTTTCAGCATCAATACAATTAATATAAATATTGCTAATTTGTGCTCTTTATACAACAACCTGCATTAGATAACTATTCAAAATCTTAAAGCCAGAATCTAAAATATTGAACAGACCCTTAATTTTCAGCTTCATTTTGGGTCAGGTGAAAAATCGTCTTGCTTACCAGTTAGAGGGTCAGTTAATCCTGTTTGGGTGATAATACTCTGTTATAAGGCTACAATTTTCACTTTTCAGGCTTGTTTCCAGTTCATATTTGTTTTTGCCTACTGTAATTAGCTCTGCTAATCCCCTATATATTGGATGATGGGCTGCTACTCAGTTCTCTTTCATTGGTGTTTTCTGTTGCTGCAGCCTACTATTTGAAATTTTATCACAGTTCATTTGATTCCCACTTCCTAACTTTACAGCTGTTGTGTCTAAAGAAGTCCCCTGGGAATTACCAGCAGGCACTGAAGGCTATTCCTAGGACAATGAGAATGATGTAAGTGGTTGTGTTGGCTGTCCAACTTTTACTTGTTCACTGTGAGGTCTGTATTCTTGAGAAGACTTGAAGCAGCTTATTTTATTTGTGCAGGCTTGTTGTTAATTATTTCTAAATTTGCCAACATATAATATAACTATGGGATAGGCATTTTGGAGAATTAAGCATACACCTTATTAGTAAACATGTACTTTTGCAGTGTTTTGTAACATTAAGCAGCTAGCAGATTAATAGCGGGTACATCAACAATATGCCAATTCCCTAAAGCTATGCCTGCCCAGGGCAGGTTTAAGTAGGGTGGATGTATGTAGCGTTACTCTGTAATGGCAAAGAGGTCCTTTTTATATGACTCTTGATCTAAAATGCTATGAGCGTCTTCTGTTTCACATTAGTTGAACAGAACAAACAGTTAATGAGCCTTTTTTAATGTGTAATAATATAAAAGCTGATGAATATGAATATGAGCCTACATTGAAAATTGACATTGCATAACTTCGATTTTTGTGATTAGTATGACTGGATAGTTAAAATGCACTATTGTAGAACATAGGACTTAGTATGAGGACTTTATTCACTAATTAAATTTGTGAACCTACTGTACGGGTGTACCACACATTCCAATAACACAGTTCCAGTATTTGAAAAAGGGGAATGCGGGAGAGATATTGTCGGTTGTGATATTTGCTGCCGATAGGATTGCCTTTAGCTCTTATAGTGTGTTTGGAAAGGGAAAGTGGAAGGAAAAGAAGGGGAGGGAGGGGAGGAGAGGGAAGAATAATGAGTTTTCTTTCTAAATCTCTCCATTGTTGACTAGATCAATTTCTTACATTTTAATCCCTCCATTTTTCTCCCCTCCAAATCCCTTCCTTTCTCATTTGTTATCCAAATGAAAGATAATTCATCCTTCCATTTCTCTTCCCTTCCTTTCTCTCCATTTCCTTCAATCTAAACAAAGTATTAGTCACTGGCTTCCTAACTGGAATATCCTATTCAAAGTACTTGATTCTGTGTTTTTTATTTTTTTGTGCCATTGATTACTTTAGCCAGCTGGGACTTTTCATTCTGTCCAAAGCTTCTTTCATTAAACCTGGATCTGGAACATCAGTGGAAATCTATGAGCATAAAGTTGTATCTATCTTAGCTGTTTTTCTGTAAGATGATTACCTATCAAAAATTGTTTTGATGCTTCTAACATTAACTTTGTTTCCTGAGCTATGGTACTTCTGTATTCTGTACGTAATGCCATCAAATTTCGAAGCTAGAACATACTGGTTATCTTATTTCGTTTTCTTAATGCTTCCTCTTTGGATTTTTTTTTTTTTTTTTTTTTTTTTGGGGGGGGGGGGGGGTGGGGGAGGAACAGCAGCACAATTGCATGATTTCCTCCTGACTATATTCATGGTATGATAATGTTCTTTAGTTTGTGAGGTTGACGTATGCTGGAAGTTACGAGTACTTGAAGTTATACTTCAGAAACTTCGAGTAGTATAGAGATGATGGTCACCTAACTGCTTAAATCTCCTTGGGTAGTAGCAAGAGGGAAGTCATTAGGCTTGCATATATGCCCAATTCTCTGTGTAGACTGAGATTGTGACATGCTCTATTAATTCTCTGTTCAGGTATGTACACAGCTACCAAAGCTACTTATGGAATCATGCAGCAAGTGTTAGATTACAGAAGTATGGTATGTAATTTGTAACCTTTGTATGTGATCTTTGGAAAAAAATTTATTGTTATTTCCTAATTATTTTCCTGATCTTCTGTTCATTACACTAGCTTTCTGCTTAATTTTCTGGCAGGAGCTGACAGTGTTGTTGTTGGAGATCTTGTTTATTGCAAAGAAGATTGCAGCGAGTTCATTACTGCCCCTAACGAGTGTGAGGAGGATATTATTGATGAGGCAGACAATATTAGCAATCTAGAAGAGATTGAAGTTGATGTCCCTGATGAAAAGATTTTTCCAGTCAAAGTAAGATGCTTACAAAATTTTCCTACTTGTTTGTTATTCTTATGTATCCTTTATATTGCTATTGGCATCTTACATTTTAGTGATGCTTTTATCTGTGTGAAGGACAAACTGATGCTATTGCTAGGATGTTCAAAACAATATTTTTGGTTTTTTGTCATAGTGTACAATTTGATGAAATCCTAACCTATCTAATCCAAGTTTGCAGGTTGTATTTATATTTTAAAATTGATTTGATTTTATTTGGTCTAATTAGGGAAGAAAAATTAACACATGGATGGAAGTCTATGTAAATTACAGTACCCAATTGAAAGTAAATGGGAAGATAATTAGAGGAAAGAAATCACAGATTGATAATGAAGGCTAATAGCTTAATGAAAAATTCTAGATGTAAGCAATAAAAGTCTATGATACAAACGCTGTGTGGCATATCCAGGTTTACAGACAACATTACTGAAGTCCTGAAACTTAAGTCCTTGTTTGTTACAAGGATCTTATAATGGTTCCTTGCAGATCCTTTTTTGCTTAATATATTCTAGCATTTGTACAATTGCTTATTTGCACTTCACCATGACAATGCTAAGTTATTGCTTTGGCACTTGGTTCTAATAATACTGCTGATCAGGCTGTAGACGAGGAAGATTTGCTCAAACAAAAGTATACAATTGATGATGTTATCCTTCCATTGCCCGGGTGAGTTACATGTCCTATTGGTGCTGGTTAATTGCATTGGTATGGTGCTAGATCATGATATGTTCCTCATTAACACAAATATTGTGACAGTTCAAGGGTAATGTATCCAGCAAATGCTGTTGCTGATGTCTATCATGACCTGGCTAAGAAGGTACATCTACTCAATTGAATATCTGCAGCATGGTGTTAACATGGAGATGATTATAGGAAAATTGGAAACTGAAATTTTGTCTAATTGAATATATTTAAAATGAGAGAGATAAATTTATTTTGTGTTTGCTAGTTTCAATTTGACTTTTCTGTAAATAAATTAATTTTACATTTTTTTTTTAAAAAGCACTCATGAAACAGACAAAAGCATGTCAAAGTTGCCAATTGTATCAGATGAGACCTTGCTAATTTACAGTAATCTGTTCAGTTATCTTGGCACATTGTCAATGTTAAACTGAAAAGTCTTGTCTAAGGGAGGGATGCCTGTTTACAAGGGTTATGTCTGGCAAGATTTCCCAATTATTTTGATGTAAATTTACACTTATTTGGTCAGTGGTCACTCATAAAATATCAAGTCTTGTCCAGAGTGGATTATAATGCACGAGGAAGTTAATGTTTGATAACTATGGAGTTCTATCTACTTGCCATAATTTGGGCTGGGTAGGTTATTTATTTAATTTTTTTTCCCTGTCCTCAGCTCGCTTTTGTTAGTGTGATAAACAGTGTCATATGCTGTTCAAGTTGAAATATCCCAACTAAAATTTTGGGGATTTTGAAGTTGAAAGTTTTGAAACAATGACCTGTTTCTGCTTTTGTCCTGACACTGGAAAATTCTTTCATCTAGGCTAGTAATAATTTTTTTTATTTATGTATGTATGTATGTATGTATGTATGTATGTATGTATGTATCTTGGGTTTAGTGCTATTTCTCCCCTTAAAAAAAAAGACACAAAGGGATAACTCCATATCTTTCAAAACTTTATGAGGAAAGACTTTGTAACCACTTGTAATCAAACTGACCTTGTAAGTACTAAGATATTTTTTCGGTAGTCTTCCAGGGTTCTCTTTACCAACCTGACTACCATCCCTGCAATGAAGCAACAAATTTGCATCTCTATTAATTGTCCTTGTTAATGTTGAACAGCAAAAGGAAGAATGTAATCTATGATCCAGTTTCTGGAAATGAGTGAGTGAAGAAAGTCAATAAGTCATAAAGGAGTTCAGTTTGTTTTTGGGTTGATTTTGGGTCAAACCCTTTATCCATGAATTTCGCAGGTTTCAAAATTTTAGGTTGAAATGTTATACTCGTAATTTGCTTGTAGAGTGGGGGGGTCAGGGTTTTGATGTTCTTGGTGGTTCTCACTCTCTGGCTGGATCAGTTTTTGAAAGCTTTGGTCATTTGGTAACAAAATTACAAAACCTGGCAGATATCCTTTCATGCTGGCTTTTATGTGTTTACTTTGGCTTTCTGTAGTTTTGACAGTCATTGGACATGATCCTGTCTTTTCTTTTTTATTTATGTCATTTTTTGGTGTTTGTCAGGATAATATCAGCTTGACAGAGAGTGTACACAATGTCAAGTATGTTATTCGGCTATTATAAAATAAATAATCTTACTTGTTCCACACATTCAATATGGCATGCATCTAATGACCGTATTCTCCTTTTCAGAGAATTCTCAATAACAAGTATGAGTGGAGCTTATAGACGTGTTTTCCAGAAACCAATTGATTTTGAGTGGTATTCCTTCTTTCATGTTTATTTTTTATCTTATATCCTGTACTTTTGTTGAGTTAGTAGCAGAAATGATATCATGAAGGTTTATTTTTTTGTCATTTTCAGGGAAGTACTCAAGTATTCGGATGCTAGTACACCTTTGGCAGATACAGATTTGGACATTCTTGCCAAGACTGAACCTGAAATTAAGTTTCAAAAGGTGGATAAAACCAATGGAAGCAATTCGTGTGATGCACCAGAAAAATGTAGAGATGGAACTCCAGATAACACTGAGTCAGATGGTCCAAATCAGGCCACACAGACAGCTCTCAAGCTCAGTTTTACCCTCCCATCATCTTGCTACGCAACAATGGCTATAAGGGAGCTCCTCAAAACATCAACATCTGTACGTAGTACAATCTCTGTGATGTCATTCTGAAGGATTCTTTCCTTTATTATTTGCTCATATATTGCTACTCTGTTGGGCTGTGTTGGCTCTTAAGTTCCTTACGGAGTTTAATGAATTTCTTAGTAAAGACTTTGTCAACCCCTATTAGTAGATTGCTGGCATCTTACTTGACAACAACCATTCAACTACAGGTTGCATTTCATAAAACATTGAACGACCAAGTGTAGCTGCATGAAGGAACACATGTCTGATTCAATTATATGAGGTGGAATATGCGCAGAGGCAGGTATATTTTCTTGATTGCTACCGTGTTTTATGCTATTAGGATGTTATTAACATGAAAATTAAAACGTTCTGGAATTACTTTCCAAGGCATAATCTATTGTCTGTTTTAATGAATTCCACGCACCATTGAACAATTGCAGTATACTTGTTTTAAATTTGCTTATATATTACATTTGTTGTAATTAATTGTAGCATGTATATCTTATTTTTTACAGAGAGCTGGACTGTGAGCTGAGATATGAATGTTTCTTCAGTCTTCATTGACCGGAGACTAAATACTTGCCAAAAGGATGATTACAGGTGTTTAACGTAACAGAGCATGTTATAGGACATCCCAAGGATTCATAAGAAGACACCAGATATGCCATGGGAATTCAATCATACATGCTCTCCTACCTCATGTAATAAGAATATTACTGGGAAGCTTATGTAATTTGTATAACATGTAGCATAGAATCAAGTTCATTTTTCTATGTAGTTTATAATCTAATGTTTCTAAATTATTTATTTATTTATTTATTTTTTTTTTTTTAAGAATAATCATGGGTTCTTAGAAGCAATGTATGCTAACAATATAATGTTACAACTGATGAAAAAAAAATAAAAACTTATTTTACCATTCACGTCACGATTTGCAATTTTTTTTTTCTTGTATCTTCAAATTTGTTGTATCTCCTGATTTTAAAGCATGTGATGAGGTTTTTTTTTACATAATTATACAAGTAATTCATTACTTTTATTTGAGAAAAATGTTCAATATTTCAATACAGAATGATAATAAATACTGTATAATGCAGGCCTCACATTTGTGGTGCGCAATTTCATGGAATGTGGGCAGTGGTTATGATCGATTTGTTAGTGAAAGTGTTGTACAAAATCACACTCCTTAGACTTGGCCAATTAGGTTCAGCTTCATATTGTTTTATATTTTTTTTCAACTTGAATATGTAAATTGTAAATTGTGTTGATTGACGCACACCAAAATTGTGATCATATACAACAGTAGTCAATAAAACGCAAAGCATTTCAATTCTACATTGTTTAATCACAGGATTGTTAACGAAACAACAAACAAACAACGCATTACGTGATAAATCAGAAAAATTAGGTCAAAATCGCGATTACAATCATATAATTTGCATAAATAACGTCCTCATGAAAATCAGAGAACAACAAATTGATCAATTTAGCTAAATAAAAAATTTGATACAAAACCAGTAATTAACACCATCTTCTGGGTTAAAAAAAATCCAAATATTAGCAATGTCATCAAATTGGAAAAATACGACTAATCCAAAATTTCAGATAGGCAGATTAGGCGCAAATCTTTTCAACAATGGCTTTCCATAAACAAAAGCACCAACAGCAATACCACCAACAACACCACCGATCACGCCAGACCGAAAACCCGATACGACACGATAAACCGCTCCGGTACCTACACCAGCCAACACTCTTGCATGAGCATCATCAACATCCAAATTATGAATAATAGTGGATTCCATTCCAGCATATAACAAACCTAAAACTCCAGTAGTATTACCAAAACTTCGACCCTTCAAGCCCCCCATGTTGAGCACACGGCTGGTTCGGATTTTGAGGGACTCTCCGTACTGAGCTGAGGAGAGTCCCTCAAAAGAACCCTTAACGGAGCCGGCACCGGTAAAGTAGGAAGTGCCAGTGTAGAAGGTGAGGTTTTCGAAGGCGTTACGACGAGTTCGTAACGCTTGTTCTTCAAAGAGGTGTTCGGGGGCGGTAGGAAGATAGTAGAGCTTGAGGTAAGGGGAGTTTGGAGCAAGCTCTTGGTATGGAGAGTATTTTTTGTATTTTGGGGTTGAATTTTGGGAGAAATCGTCCATTGTTGATCACTTTTTTTTGGGAGGGTTTTAGAGAGGTTTTAGGGTGATGTATGTTGTATGTATGCTGTTGAAAAGGGTTTTTGAGTTTGTGGGCTTTCGAATTTTATGGGGGATTTGCGATGACTTCTTTCCCAAGTCGATTCTGATTAGGATTTTTTTTTTTTTTTTTTCAAAACCAAAAAAAAAAAAAAAGAAACAAAAGTAGAAATTAAGTAGGAAATTAGTCAATTACGGATAATTTTTTATTTTTTTTTAACCGAAAAAATATGGATGGTTTTAGAGGAATAAAAAAAAGACTATTTAATGGCTATTGCAATCATAATTATAATTGCTTTGCATTTCAACTTTTTATTTTTAAGAAACAAACAATCTTATCCATTATTCGTTTTAGTTATTAGAAAAATATTATTAAAAAATTACTACATCATACATAAATTAGTTTTTTAAATGTAAAGCGTGGTTCACCTTATTTTTAGATGAATTGAAATTATTTTTATTAAAGTGAAATTATTTTTACTGAACTGATTAAAATTTAATTTTATCGTTTCTCTCTTTATAGTTACTGATTTTAAGTGATTAAAAATTATTTTCACTGAATTAAACTTAATTTGCTAAGATGAATTTATTTTTATTAAACTGGGATTACTTTTTACTGATATTTTTTTTAAGATGAAATAGATAGTATGTAATAGCAAGTGATTTTATTAAATAATAATAGTCATTCAACACTTACAATTATCCCTTTAAAGATCCAAATTCTCAATACAAGTATTAAACACCCCTAAACTAATGACATCGCTTCTAAACTATAGTTCTAAATAATTTTAGATATCTTTGCATCGTTCTTGGCGGAGCTTCGATCCATTAATGTATAGTCGCGAAAGTGATAAAATTTGATTGGTTATCAAGATTAGCAAATCTACAAGATGAGTCATCTAATAAATCTGCAGCCTTATACCAACAGACATGCATTCTCACAAATTTACAAGTCTAATCTTCCAAACGTGAATTTTATCCCAAGTCACGCAACGTATTTTATCCATTTCATGAAAACATATACTCCCTCCGTTTTTTGTAAATGCATCACTTTCCATTTAGGGGTGTTTTTTTAAATGCATCACTTTCCATTTAGGGTGTTTTTTAAATGCATCACTTCTATATTTGGTAACTTTTTATACTAAATTTTATTATTTATCTCTCTTCTCTAATATCCCCCAAAATATTTTATCATTTCTCTCTCTTTCATGATCCCCACTTATGTAATTAAATAAATCATTTGCTATTACATACTATCTATTTCATGACCCATATTGTACTTTTATCAAAATAAATTAATCATCCATTTGCCCCACTTGCACAATATAATATTAAAGCAAATAACTCTCCTAAAACTCCGCGTCAATGCAAGTGATGCATTTAAAAAAAACGAAGGGAGTATATTATTTTCTTTTCACTCAACATTTCTTTTCTTATGATGAACACTTACTAGAATGGGATTTGGACCGGAAAAAGGACTAGACCAGATCGAAGAGAAACAGTTCAGTATTTAGGTCGAGAAATTTAAACATCAGTTTTTGATCAATCCGATCCAGTCCAAAACCCCTTAAAAACTGATTTTGGCCAGTGTTTTTTTTTTTTTTTTTTTTTTTTTTTTTTTTTTTTTTTTTTTTTTTTTAAAAAAATTATAAATAGAATTGAACTTTTATAATGTTTTACCTTCAATATGTGTGAGGAGGGTAGCCCGTCGTTGGGGAACCCATATCCACTGTGCCCTTGGCCTTTTAAAAGCCTAGAACTTTATACCTTTTAGGGTGTGTTAGGATTTGAATTCCTGATTGTTTGGGAGACCTTAAATTAGAATTGAGTCTATCATTACTTAATTTTTATAAGTAACCAATAGAGAGTCGCCAATGAGTTTTAGGAAAACTCATAAACCTCATTCACACCTTACCCGTGCCCAAATTGGTCTACTAAACCAGAAATGAGTTCGAGAGCTAGGGTACTAGAAAACGTTCTCTTTGAGAATCGCAATCTTAGCCCTAGTGTGGCCTCTATTAACTCTTCTTTTTTCACAATTTCATTACCAAATAATATATGCAACGCGATTCCTTAAAACCAAGTTAGTAAATATTATTTACAAACATTAATCACAAAAAGTCTACATTGCAATGAATGTCGTTATTCTTTTTAATTCAAATTCGTTAAAGGAACAAGAAATAAAACAAGATTCGCCTTGACTTAAGTGATAAAACAACAATTTAATTATTCAATTTATAGTCTTTGATTTACGCAAGAATACTATGTGAATTAATTTATTAATCTTATTTAATGTGACAAAGAAACACTAATTATTCAACTGAAGTTATTTAAAATAAGAAAAGAAAAGTGATTAGTCTAAGTGCTCAGGAAACTAACCGTCCTCCTTTATTTGCTAAGTCTCCGTCTTAGTGTTTATGGACTTCCTTCCTTCTTCGTACCTCCAAGGACTTCAAAAGAATGGATTTGGGTTGAAGAGTAGTCGGGAAGAGAGGGGAAAAGTAGTATGATAGCAAAAGACTTTGAGAGATTTGGGATTCAAGAATTTAGGGTTTTTAATTCTGAATTTTCTATTGTCTTTAGTTCTAAGCGAAGACCCTTATTTATAGGCGGAGAAATAAAGGTTTAGGGTTTTAGAGCCGTGGTGTCAGGGGGCGCGCGTAACTCTTGAAGTTGCGTTGGAGTGACGAGCGCAACTTTAAGACTTGAGCGCGGCTGTCTCGCGCAATATTGGAAGTTACGTGCAGCGCTGTTTGCCTTATACGAAAACGCGTTTTTAAACTTTTGATTACTAAGGCAAATGAGATATCATTGGAAAGCTCTGAATGTCTACTTTTCATTTCCATTTATAATTAAGTTAAAATCTATTTTGGATCAAAAGATATGGCCGTTTTAGTGCAAGGGTATCGATTTTCGGGCCCGGTTTAGTATTTTGATGATATCGTCTTCGTTTTAACTCGGAATTGGGCTTATAATATATCGTTAGAAAGCTCCTTGAACGAGCTATCCAACTGTATAGGCCATGAATGGATATTAGGTGTTTAATTATTTTGATTGGCTCGGTTATCAACAATGTAAGATCCATCTGATCCAATCATTGCATTTAACGTATTTAGGTCCGTTATTAATCAAGATTAAACATGTATGAGCACGATTTAGGCCTAATTAGTAATCGGAATAGGATCTAAGATAAATTGGTCTTAAATACGAGTTTTAACTTACTTCATAATACATTTCGGAGTCCATAAACACTTCAACTTTGATCTAGCATGAAGAACGAGTTTTTGTCACATGATTGCACTTCATGTCGGGATAGGAAGCCAAAAAAATGTGTCTACAATATGCTAGAAATATTTTATATTATGAGCTATTTTATTTTAAATGTTCAAAATGAGAAATAAACAATCATTTTCCTTATATTTTCATTATGTTAAAAAAATATAGATGAAACTATCAAAACTGATCCAAATTGGTTTGAATTCAAGTTTTGGATCGGGATTATTATTAACTAGTTTGGTCTAGGTCTGGTCTAAGCAAAACTAGTGCCTTCTCTTAGAGTCTTGATGAATTTAAAATTTTTTGGTCTTCAATCCGGTCTAGTCTTGGATCAGATCGGTCAACAACTGTTAGTTGAGACGAACTACTACAAAAGAGAGGGTGAGTTGTAGTAGGTTCCTAAGTGACTAATTTTTACGGAAATTAAAACAAACTAAATTGGAACTTGCAAAGCACA